GTAAATAGTACTGGTTATTCTTTAGAATATCCTCATAATTCTGAAAAATCTGTTAACCATGCAACCAACATTACAGAATTCTAAACCCCAAATACAGAAATATGACAAATAAAAATATAGGAACGATACAAACTCAAAAGCAGGAAAGGTTTAAAGAATAGAATAAAATTACAGACAAGGAAATAGATAAAAAGATTATGGCACAGAAATCAATTATGAAAAACCATGGGAAAAAGAATTACAATCATAGTGTTCATTTCGCCAACACAACTATGAAATAAATTGAGGCAATATTCTTTAAAACGCACTGTCAAATCTGTGGGAATTAAAAATAAGAATAAATAACACCCCATTAAACCCTGACTACTGATGGTAGGGCTGAGGGTAATTCTTGAACGTAGGTTTACCCTTATATATTTGCAAAAAAGTTCTTTCTCAAATTTGAACCCATGACAAATCAGTCACAAAGTAGCAGCTTTACCGCTGCTTCAGGATTGCCCTCTTGAATTCAAAATAAGAATAATAAAAGGAAATTGAAAATAATAATTCCCCTCGAGTTTTAAGCTTTTGTCAAATATGAGGAACACTGCACAAAGTTCAATCAAATCTTAGATATATATTGAAGCATGAGGTAATGTTTCTCTTCCTATTGTTAGGCAAAATTTCAGCAAAGAAAATACTTTAAAAATTAAAGAGCCCTTGCATGAAACTATTTAATAACAAAAGCTTTGTCATCATGTCAAGAAATAAATAAAAGCTTCATTAAGAGAAAGGAGGATGCAAAATCCATTTACGAGAGCATCAGAAATTGAGAGGAGGCCGCAACTGCTGCTATTGCCAAAGGATCCAAAGGGGCAATTCCAACATAATGTTAAAAGGAAATTTACAAAATGGACACATAATATCACCTTTTCTGCATACGTGGAAAAGGAAGGAGGATGAAACTCGATAACAAGGCTTAAGAAATCAAATGACATGATCCGAACGTCAAACGCAAGATGTGTCATTGCATGAAAAATGTAAGCCATCAATAAAGAAACGATCTGCTGCTGAGTACCCTACAAAATATAGGAAAAACCAAATAACAAAATAAGGTGGATGAAGTATAGAAAAGAGTAATCTTCACTGTAATAATATAATCATGCAACAGTCATAGTATGCATCAAGGGAAAACAAATTAGATACCCAAAATCTGAATTTGGAACCAATGAGGATAGCAAACAGCTTCACAGGGTATAGAGTATTACAACTAGACATCTAAAGCATCATAGATTAATAACCATAAGGCAACGTAACAAAACAGATATCATAACAAAAAAACTATCATTTACTTTTCCGCAAGAGAAAAACAGATCAAACATCACTCTTCCAACACAATCTTATGCCTTTCTTTGGTAACACCACAATAATATAATAAGGACAAGGCTCTTTAAAGTGACAGGTAAGAGGGTATCCACCCATAAACTCCAGTTGGTTAAGATCAAGACGCACTTTAAACTAAATCAAGGATGGATACACCCTTAATTGCTTAATTTAGAGACAAGCTCACACTTTAGATGAGCTTTTTCCATGTAATATACATAACACATGGTAATCTGTATTAGCATTAGTGTCCCATAATAAAATTCAACCATCCTAAATCGGGAAGACATAATGATGTACCACCCGCACACCCCAAGGGAAAGTTTTAACTTCTATTTTTACAACAACCACCCCCCCCCCCCTCCCGACAATCAAGGAAAGAACTTGAAGTGATAGTGACAAATAAAAAATACCCAAGTTGTTTTTTGAGAGGCTGAATATTCTGAGGGGACGTTTGGTAGAGGAGAAATTATTTTGTTCTTGGGAATCACGATTCCTGTGAGGAAAGTGAATTTCTCATGAATGTTACCAAAAGTTGTTTGATAGGCCAAAATATTCCCAAGAATGTTGGCTCAAGTTTCCTGATTCTATGTTTTGATGATTGTCAATGATTCATGGGAATGTGGGCTCATTTTACAAAACAAACTTTTGATGAATTTTTGAAAAAAAAATCTGATATGCCACAAAAGGGTCAAAATGCGGCGTTACAAAACTAACCTCTGATTTTACAAAATTTCTGATATTAAAGCTTATTTATGTCCTATAATTTATGTAAAATTTTCCCCACCTGGTGGTATTATTTCATGAGATTCTTATTCACAATTTTAATGCCCAGGAAAAATTTAAGAATCGTTGTACCAAACATGGGTAACTAGGATTTCCAATGTGAGTTTCCTGGGAATCTAAAATTTATCCCTCTACCAAACGCCCCTGAAGTCAAAATACTCAGATTGATTTTAAAAGTATTGGAAACTAATAAAATTATGCCTGATTGAAAACAAATGCTATATATTTGAGTTTCTTTCTAGGGGATTGAAAATTTCACCGCAAATATTGTTATCAATCCAACAAGAAGTCAGAATGGCTCAAAAACATTTATTTTTGGGCGGAAGAACGGTTTTGCGAGTAGGATGGATTATAAGGTGCTTTGGTGTTGTGCTCATTCCGCTGAAGTGTGGTTAATATGGCAGCAACATGATTCCAGAAACTTTTAGCCATAAATTTCTTTTTCCCCACCTTTTCTGGGCCTTGTAGGCTTTTGGTCAAAAAAAAATTAAGGGTGCTTCTACTTCTAACAAGTAAAAGTACTGGACTGCTCTTTTCAGGTTATGCACTTTTTCATTATTTTCTTCTCTCTAATGTCCTTTGCAGCTTGAGGAGCACACTTATCCTCATGATATGTATATTTTGTTTACATGAATTCTTTTATCAAAAGGGAGGAGAGAAAAAGCAGTTAGAATATTTTACCATTTCAAATGACAACAGCAAATTCTCAATATGTAAGAAAAGTAATTTAAATTAACAAAATAGAAAGTACCTCTTTACAGCCAGGGAAAATCACCAATTTCAAAAGATCATACAATGATTTTCGAACCACTTTATCATCATCACTAATGCGCTCACGAACTTTTTCTACAGCAGCATACTTGTGCAACGTCAGTTCTGCTGGATTTTTGATGAATAAATCCTTAATACCGATCAATGCATCTATATTTTAACGGGGGAAGAAAGAGTATTAATATGCAGACCACTGAATTTAAATGAAAATTCAAATGCTTGACAGGATTAAATATAGCAATAACCTCAATTCATGATATTACAGCTCAAAAAGAGTAAGAATATATTGGGAAGCTAGACCTTCAAAGAGATCATGGTGTGCCATTGCCCATTAAAGTAACTTTTGGAGGATACAAACAATAAAATTAACCACCATGTTAACTTTCTTATCAAAGATTTTGAAATAATGATTGATATTGACACAGGGTTCATGGTCCATATTTATTTGGTTTGAGGCTTAAACTTGAACCAAACTGACCTCTATTGATCCCTAAATTCTAAAAACAGAACAAGAATCAAGGTTCTGGTTTGGTGGCTTGGTTCCAAACCAAAGTTCATTGTTATTTCAATTCAGAACAATGTTCTATTAATTATAATAAAAAATACACATTGTAACTGTAACACATTACTCGTATTCCCTAAAAAACAAGGTAGTAGCAAGTGCATTACTACAAATTGGCTTCTAACTTTAAAGGTTGCCAAATAACCAAATAAATTAATCTTTACTTAGCAGAAAGCTTCTGTCCAACTCAATTTATCAAAACTAATCATTTAGAAAATTTTATTGGTTTAAATATTAGAACATGTACCACTGAGATTTAATTATATTGCCATGCACATTTAGAGGCAATTATATAATGACAACACATTCAACAAAATAAATATACCTCTACGAACTTTTGCATTGTGATGAGATGTTTGCTGAAGAAGTTCTTTTAAAGTCAAACCTTTCTTGTTTACAGCTAAACCCCCCTTCTCTGCTGCTACACTCTGCTCCGGCAGAACAATTGCTGTTCAAGACGTGTCAGTAAACTTATTCCGTGACATTAGTTCATGTCAAGCCAGTCATAAATAAAAAAAGTAAACAAAATTTCCAATTTCACAGATTTGTCTAGCATTTTAAAAAGGAAAAACTACGGCATATAACAAAAGAAATCAGTTCAGGTAATATGTTTCATAAACAAAAACAAACAAGTTATTAAGTGTGTACAACAAATTTTACCATATCTCTTGCATTTTGCCTCACTAACACAGAAAGCTCTAAACGAACATGTCAAGAACAAAACCTAGGTAAATTTTGGAGCGGACGGGATGTAAACTTAGTACCTTTAGATTTGATTTCGGTATTTGTTGTATTCTTAGGCGGCGGCAGCTTCCTCCCAACCTTTCGTCTTATTTTCTGAAAATTTTGAGCAAGTAACACGCCGATAAGCGTTGAAAAGCTTTTTAAAAAAAGTCATGAACACACACATGCAGGCAAGTATACAACAGAATAATGCTAGGGCACACAGAGGTAACCTTGAAGTCGACGCCACGCTGTTTCATCGACTTGGCTTTAGAACGAGTCATCTTGGGCTAATACGCAGAAGTAGCAAAAACCTGAGTTAGATTCTAGCGCCGTTAGAAAGGAGAAAAAGAGTGAGAAGAAAAGAAAGTTGACACTGTGAATCGAAACAGTGATCTTTTGCAGATTCACAATGCTCTCTCCCGCGGGTAACCACGAAAGTGTGCTTTTCTTAGGAACGATTTAGGGCCCGTTTTGGATCAGCTTTTAAAAAAATGATTTTTATGCATTACTTTTTTTTAAAATAACTTTTTTTAAAAGTTAAAGACGTGTGATCTGAAAATTACTTTTACATAAAAAAGTTGTTTGGATGTTAAAAAAAAAAAAAAACACTTATATATATAAAATTACAATAAAAGAGAGATAAAATAGTATGATCATGAGATAAGGAGAGATAAGATTGATATGATAAGATAAGGTTAAAATTGTATTTTAAAAATTTATATAATCTTTTTTCAAAATAAAATTTTATATTATTTTTTAATTTCTGTTTTTTTCAAAAGCAACCAACTACTAGCTATAAGAAAAAGCAGCATTTTAACTTTTATTTTAAATTTTGCTTTTTAAAAAAATTGTTATTCAAACATCTAAAAATTCTCAAGAGAACTTTTATTTTAAAAAAAGCAACTTTTTTAAGAATAAAAGCTCATCTAAACGGACACTTAATCACACAATGGTAAATTAAAAAGAGTATATATATATAGGTAGAGAAAAAGGATTGCAGTGTCATTATATTTTTCTCCTCACTACACCACACTCATCCATATAAATAGGCTATATAGCAACGACACACACTAACACTTCAACATGACAGGCAACGTGACACGGTCAATTCTAAAAAAATATGGATTATAACATATTAAAACATATTTTAATATTAAATAATATTTTTAATGTACCAAAAAAAAATTAATTTATATAATGTATATTTTTTTAAATATTTAATAATTTAATATAAATAAATAAAACTAAACTAACTAATACCCCTCAATTTAATCAAAAAAAATTCAAAGAAAATAAATCATTCCATATCACCATTATATTAATACAAAGCAAAAAGTAATAGCAATAAATACAATAACAACAAAAGGAGAAATTATATAAATCACTACAATCAGAAATCGGAGAAATAAGGATGAGTGAGAGAGATAAGGTGGTGTTTGATCGGGTCTTTTCAACATTTTCCCATCTATATGAAGTAAGATTTTTAGGAAGGCAACGTTTGTTTGAACAGATTTTCTTCAAATCCCCATCTATATAATTTGCATAGCTTTCCCAACTGAACCACTGAAACCCACTAATCTGCACTGTTTAGAAAGCAAAATTGAGGGTGGGTTTTTATGAAAACCTGGGTATGCACTCTCCACCACCTCCTCTCCTCCTTCCTTTCATGTGGATTCTCTTATCCAACATCTCCAACACCTCTCTTCTGCTCCCATCACCACTCATTCCCTCACACTTGTGCCTCCAATTCATGATGACAGGACCCATTTCAATTCTCTCCGAAATTCTCTTGATTCAACTGAACCACCGCTACCCATTTCAGCTTCTGCCACCAGAATTGATTATGATCAACTAGAGGAGGCAAAGTTTGGATTTTTATCAGCCAGGGTTAAGTTGATGCTCAATTCAATTGTTGGGTCACCTTTGCATAGTTTGAATGATTTCTTCAACTCTGCCAAATTTGAATTGCTTGAAGTTGATATTCCCAACCTTTCTGGCAACTGGGAAAGAGCCCTTTTGTTATTTGAATGGGTTTGGTTGCATTTTGGGTCTGAAAATATGAAGGTGGACAATCAGGTTGTTGAGATTATGGTTAGCATATTGGGGAGAGAATCACAGCATTCTATTGCATCCAAGTTGTTTGATTTAATTCCTGTTGAAGAATACTCACTTGATATCTGGACAATCAGGACGTTGCGTTTTATTCGTTGGATGACAAATGGAGGATATTTGTATTGGGGTTATATTTGTCATTTCATACTATTTACCCATCCAAATTTTATCATAAACCAAACATAGGTTTTATACTTTTTCATAAATTTTCCTGATAATATTTCGTCAAACCAAACTACTTTTTTTTTTTAATTTTCCTATCTATTTCACTTTATCTCACTTTCTTACCATTTTTCTATGAATTCTATTTCCCTAGTATTTCAAAAATTTCTACTCAACCAAATGCCCCCTAAAAGAACAGACATCGCTATAATTAGAAATCGAAAAACAACAAGGATGTGTTTTGGTACATGATAAATTTTTTAGTGTCATCATGATTTTCAGTAATATAACGAGGAATTGAGTTTATTGAGAATGGTATAAAAAATTATTTGATAGGCATATTAACTAAAATATTGAATAATTTTAGTGAGTATATGACCAACTTACGACACTAACCTTTTAACTTTTCAAAAGAACTTAATTCAACGGAATATGATGAACTTACGCTTGGATGTGTGCTGCGTTCATTAAAAAAAAAAACTAAAAGTCAGCCACCGAAGGAAGACAACTGACAGTGAGAACCACAAGAACAAATCCTTTTGTTGCTTGACAACACAAATCGATAGAACAGAGCACATGCAAGCTTACCGAGAAGCAACCACACTGGCGCAAGAGGAAACGCTTGAATTCGAAGACACCAAAGCTAGGTTACGATGTGTGCTGCATTAATTAAAAAAAAATTAAAAAAATCAGCCACCCAAGGAAGACAGCTGAGTAGAGAACCACGAAGAGCAACTCCATTTATTGCTTAACAACACAAATCGAAGTCAACAAGAGACCACCGAGCTTACCGACATGCAACGACGGCAGCGCAAGATGCAACATGAAAAATGAAGACAGACACCAAACCTAGGTTTTGATCTGAGCTGGAGTGTTTTTATCTCACAATTTGCTTTTCAGTTATATTCTTCTTCAATCATGAAATATAATTTCTTTCAAGATAACAATACCAGAAAACTAAAAGGGTATCAAAGCTAGCTCAAAGGGGAGTGTCTAAGGCCTTATAAAGGTCATATTAGTTGTCCATCCAATCAACGTGGGACTATATATCTCAACACACCTCCTCACGCAAGAGCCCTTTGGGCTAGAAGCGTGGAATTGCACAGACCCGACGGTGAGGCTCTGATACCATGTAAAAACCTTGGGATACAAATGTGGAAGTGCATGTGCCTCATTAGTTCGTCTTAATTAGTCATTATAGTTAGACAGTTAATTAGTTATTACTGTTATGGCTGTTACTGCTTTTAATTCTGTATAAGTAGTAGATAGTTTAGCTTGTAATCTTTTAAGTTCTTCAATTGTATTTTTCATCTTCTTCTTCAATCATGAAATATGATTTCTTTCAAGATAAGAATACCAGAAAACTAAGATGATATCAAAGCTAGCTCAAAGTGTGGGAGTGTCCAAGGCCTTATAAAGGTCATATTAGTTGTTCATCCGATCGATGTGGGACTATATATCTCAATAAGTTAGATTCTTCAATTACCACATATTTTTTTGGTATATGAAATTTTAGTTTTCTTCAGCGATTCCCACGAAGAAGAAGAGAGCAGCGACGCTGACGATAAAGAAGAGAGTCATATAACCGCACGAAGGAAGAGACAGCAGGGTCCGAGAAGAAGAAGAAAGAGATACGTTGCTTTTATAAAGGGACTGTATTGGATTAGAATTAAAAAAAAAAAAGATTGAGATAAATTTTTTTATAGATTTTTAAAGATTATTTAGAATCGGTGGAAATTTAAAGATTTTTTTAAAAGACCTGTTTGCTAGATAAAAGTTTTGTCTGCATATGAAACATTATTATGACACAAATAGCAGTCATTATAATTAAAGAATCGTGCCTACATAACTACCTTCTCTGTATATACTAGTTTCTTCATCCTAATATAATAGAGAATGATACAAGGGTGCCAACTTAAAATATGAGATTGAACCTCATCTATATTTATTAGGGGAAGTTGATGCAAATGTTTTGCTGATGCTGATAGTTGCTGTCGTTGTCCTATGAAGACAAGTGTTCTGATGGAGGTTGATGTGCCCATGCTCTAAAAGCTACACTTTCTTGACTAGAATTGGCTACTAAACAATTTGCATGTGTTTTTTTACTCATTTCATCGCAAGAGTTGAGTCAGTTGTAATTGGCGATTTTTTTTTTTTTTTCCAGCTTTCAAGTGAAAACAAGAGACCACAGAGTTCTTCTGTAACTTGCTAGTGTTGCTGCTCATACATCAAAAGCTTGTATCTGTTTGTAGTGCAACTTGCGCAGTTCATATAATTCAAATTATGATTGTGAAGAATTGGCGATCAGAAATATGCTTAGGTGTGTATGCAGAGGCGGATGGAAGTAGACGAGAAGGGGCGCAAGTGCCTACCCTTAAAATATGATGTAAAAATATAAAAATATTTTTTTTCTTAAAATTCAAATTTTTTCAATTTAATTTCGGGGTAAGATATTATAACAATTAATTAGAGTTACTACCAATCAATTTTACCGTTAGATCGATCATGTTCATCCAACGATTATATTTATTTTCATATTTGTATGTTATGATTTTTTATATTTAATACTTTATATTTATTTTCACCTTTATATGGTTATGATTTCTCGTATTTAATGCTTTTACATTAAATATGGAGATCATAACCATACAAAGATAGAAATAAATATAACTATTAGATCAACATAATTGATCTAACAGTGAAATTGATTGGTAGTAACCCTAGTTGGTTGTTACTATATCCTGCCCCTTTAATTTTTCTCCTTCTAATTTATTTTCCCGTGAGTTTTTTTTTTTCTCTTCCACCTTTATTATCCAAACCTAAGAGCAGAGCTCTGTTCCACACCCATCATTTGCATATCTCAAACCTCAATCTCCGTTATTGGAAGTTGGAACATTTGAGTCACAATTCGTCCAGATCTAGATCTAAACCAGACTCAGTCAGCCGATAGCTGCTCGCAAGTCGCGTTCCAGACCAGATCTAGATTTGTATGTACCTGAACTTGTTGAGTGCCTACCCTTCATTAATTTTCTGGATCCGCCGGTGTGTGTATGGTCTGGCACGTATGAGACTATTAGGTGTGTCTATGGGTGTTTGGCCAACGTCGAATACTATTGTGAGTAATGTTTAATGTTTTCATAGAAATTTGGCTAGCTAGACTAGCATTCGAAGTTCGAGTATTTTGATTAGACAGTTGGGAAAACAAAGTGCTAATAGGCATTAGTTACAGAGGCAAAGAACCTCAGGCCATATACTTACATAGTATAGAATAAAGAATAAAGTCTCATAATATAAAATTTGATTATACAAGATTTGATTAGATTTTAATATTATTCAGCGTTTGATATAATATTGTATAAGATAATATCATTCAGTATTTAGTAATACACTGTATAATATTAGATAGGATAAAAATAAATATTTTTTACAAAAATACCTTTTAATAAAAAATTTATATAATTCTTCAAAATATGTCATATGATAATAATTTTTATAGAAATCTATTGATTAGTGTGTCCAAAAATATATTAATTTTTATAAAAATAAAAATTTCCAATATTTTAAAAATTTATATATTGAATTTTTTTTTTATTTTAATATATTAATATTAAAAATATATTAATCCTCGATAATTGCACTGGTTAATATATTCAGGCCTAATCCCATCTCTTTATACCTGATTAAGTTATACATCATTTTGATGTATAAGAGGATGTTGTTGTATAAACTTATACTATACAATGATAATACTAAATAATTAAAAATATCATAACGTATAGTATAAATTTATAATATCAGATCTTACATGATTTTTTCACCCTTTTGCCCCTTATTAATTAATTAATAACCATTTTGTCCCTGATTCGAAACTATTTATCAATATACCCCTCTTTAATCGACTACCTTGCATTTTTAATCGACTAAATAACCAAAACATACAAAAAATGGTTGTTGGGAGATTTAGTCGACTAAATCTCCATATTTGACAAAAAAAAGGTTAAGTCAGTATGATTTTAATCGATTAAGTAGGGTGATTTAGTCAATTAAATCTCCCAACAACCATGTAGTCGATTAAACATGCAAAGTAGTCGATTAAAGAGGGACAAATTAATACATAGTTTCGAATCAGGGACAAAATAGTTATTAATTAATTAACGAGGGGCAAAATGATCAAACAGCCTCATATCACAACAAATGTGCTCTAGGAATCCTGCCAATATGATTAACATCCTCTCCAGTTTCCAGTACACGCTCTCTCCAATAATTCGACTACTTTGCCAGCCTTATCCCAACTCAATAATTACTACCAGGCTCACCAGCATCCGAAAACTGCAATGGAGAAAATATTGACTAATTTTTTTTATTTATTTTTTGAAAAATGATCCTTTACACTACGGTACAGCCCAATCTTTCAAGGCCGACAGTGCCAAATTGAATTAATAAAATCCATAGCCCGCATCAAATATAGCAATGCAATTCATCACTCACAGATCAGAAAGCCTAAAAAAAAAGCTATAGAATTAAGAGAAGTAACTGAAGAAACAGATCTCATCAAGACCTAAGAAAGTAGTTGCTTGTCCAAATTCAACTTATTTTTAAGAATGACAAATGGTACCCAGTTTGAACGATTGAAAAGGGACTGAAGCCCCAAGTACAGACCATGTGCTCCAATTGACAGTTGAAGTTTTTGCTCCAAAGTAACCTCCGTGTGGAAGTGAGTTTTCTCATGTTTTATTTAACCTGATTTAGTCTCTCTCTTTTTTTTGTCATTATTGATTTATTTTTATATGATTACAATTTACAATAATGTAATAATATGCAAGAGTCAAACGTCTAAAACACTAATCGTGATTCGTGGGAAACAGCTGGGCACTTCCAAAGAATAAGAAAATATTGTTTGATTGGGACTCTTGATCAACCTCTTAATACTAATTCATTGGTCTACAATTCCAGGCATGGAATGCACACAAGAATTTCTCGGAACGGGCCCCACTGTGGACAAGAGCTTTGCAAAAGGTTGGCCATTAAGTTATGAGTAATTTGGTCATCGTACGAATTCAGTTGGATAATGGCATTTGGCTGAATCATAGGTGCGTGCGTGCTTTTCCAATTGAAAACAAAACCACCTCTATGTTATGCCCACACCTGTTTGTGTTTGCGAGGGGACTTGTGTCATCATGTGTGTGCCAACTGCCTGGCAGATAATGATTTGATCGCTATCTTGACTTGAAAACCCCATGACACCACTGATGCCATGTGAGATTAATCAGAAATCCACATCAAATAACAACATCCTTGGCTAGCTGGCCTGGCTTATATGCAATCACTAATTGGAGAAAGAGGCTCCACCGATCACTAATTGACAACGTGTCAAAATCGTTGTCCATTTTATGGTTACAACGTAATATAAGATTGTGAAAGAGGATTGCTTCCATTACACCGTCAAAAAAAAAAAATGTATGTAAACTATTCCTAAGATTTTATTAAATTTTAATGTTTTATAAACAGTTATGCAAGGACTTTGCGACTCGTGTCCAACATTTTTGTGTTATTATCAATACACACGATCAATAGCTATGGACACTTTGGACTAATTTCATTAAACAATTCATTTTCGTTGTTGATATTTTAATTTTAACAAATGGGAGTTAGCGTTCTATGGACCGATGGTAGTTTCACCACGTCATGGCCGGTTTGATCTTTAATTCTGGGTTGATAGGGATATTTAGGCACTGCGTTGAAAGTTGAATCTGTGAATGTGACAACGAAGGGAATTTAATGAGGCATTTGCGCCTGTTATGGTTCCCATCAATATACCATATTTAGAACAAGTTGATATTTAATAACTCGTTGTAAATTAAAAGTATTGAAAAAATAAAAAACCAAATAATTCTCTCTGCAGACAGGGATAGATTATTTTAAAAATAATATATAAATAGATTATTCTTACACAAAGAATAAAAAATTTTATACTCATTCATGACCATTGATTAACTTGTATATAATATCTCATATAATTAAAATATTATAGCCATTGAATATGAGTGAAATCAACAATAATCAATTTTAACAATAGAACTTACACAGTATAAAATGATCTTAACTGTCTACCGGGAAAAAAAAATGACTTTAATTATATATATATAGGCAAGATAGTTTCATATCGGTGTCAAACTTTAAAATTTGATATCAAATTCTAACCATTGATTTCTACCAATCAACGATTAAGATTTTATGTCAAATTTTAAAATTTGACACCGATGTCAAAAGATCTTTTATATATATATATATATATTTAAGGTAAATGAAATGTCATATTACATGATGTAACAAAAATTTCTTACACACACGATTAAGAAGACGGAGAAATTAGAGGATGGGCCCCACATATCCTTGTATGTGAAGAAAATTTTTGTTACATCATATAACATAACATTTGATTTATCTATATATATATAGGGATATAATCTTTTGACACCTCATCTAAAAGCCGTTAGATTAAAACAGATCAATTGTGTCACATGCTTGCGAATCAGAGTCGTTGATCTTTTTTTATCTAACGGCTCTCAGATGAGGTGTCAAAAGATCCTACTTCTATATATATATATATATATATGGGGTAAGATCCTTTGACACAGTGTCAAATTTAAAATTTAATATCTCCTCTGAGAGTCATTGGATCAAAAAAGATCAATGACTCTGATTTGTAAGCACGTGGCACTATTGATCTTTTTTGATCTCACGGCTCTCTCAGATGAGGTGTCAAATTTGAAATTTGATACTGGTGTCAACAGATCCTACCTTATATATATATATATATATATATATATATATATATATATATATATATATATATATATATATGGGCTTACCGTTTCTCAAGTTGCTTGAGAGAACTTTATCTCCGGCTACTAAATCATAATCGTGTAATGATGGATCAATAGTGATAAAAGAGAGAAAAAAGAAATCATAATAATTTAAAGATGAATAAATTAATATAAATAAATAAATAAACAAAATGACGTAATTTTTTTTTTGAATAGACAGAGAAAAATATATATCAAAGTGCTTGAGAATTTCTCTCTCTCTCTATATATATATATATAGGGGGCAGGATATTCTTACACTGGTGTAAGAGTTAGAAGTCTTACGCTCAATCTTGACCATTGATCCACTTGTATCCAATGGCTCACATTATTAAAAAATTTAAGCCCTTAGATATAAATGGGATCAGTGGACAAGATCAAGAGTGTAACGTTTAAAATGATCCTAACCCTATATATATATATATATATATATATATATATATATATATATATATATATAATTTCACGAAAAACTTCCCATACAATTTATAGCTCTTATAGGACTTCTATCTGTGCATTGTTATTAGTTGAGACTGGAGAGGATACCCTTCTGGTCAGGGTTTAATAGGGGAGCTACAAAGACCATTCTATCTGTCGAAAATAATAGGTTCAAGGACGTGGATCTTCTCTCTCCTCAAGTGATAGCCAAACTGATAGGAAGAATATCAAGAACCAACAATATACTTGTGGGCCTTATCTCAATCGCCAACACTCAATTTTTGAAGAATCTTAAATGCAAAGATAGCAGTATCAATTTGATCTTTGATGCATGCCCCTGAAAAGAAATTTTCTAACAAAAAAGAGTTAGTTGGCCAAAAACTATGTATTTAAATTATGGCAGAGAATCTAACCTGTTTGAATTCTGTTTTTTAAAATAGGTTTTTTATTTTTAGAAAAATAAAAAATCTGTTTATTAAAATTTATTTTATAAAAATAATTCTAAAAATAATTATTTTTTAATTTTTAGAATTAAATTTAATAAACATATCTGAGTTGTTTTTGTTTTATGTTTTGATTTTTAAATTTCAAAACAACAAAAATTACATATTTTATTAAAAAAGAAGAAGCGAAACACAGTCAAATGGACGTTAAAACGAACAGGAAAGAACCAATGACCAGCATTCTCATTGATCGTGTGGCTCAGTACTATCTACAACCATTAACACTTAAATGTCATCATAGAAAATAAAAAGCATACATAGGTGCATATGAAATCTCTTGCTCGACCACTATTACAACACTCGTACCAAACATTTTGCCAAGGCATTTTTAGACAGATATAAAAGAGCCTGCTATCTACATCTATTTAAAATTAAAAGGAGAAAGGAAAAAAGAAGGTACATTCAACAAAAGCAACAAACCATTTGTTTCACCGGCCATCAGCAGAAGTAAAAGAATCTGCAAATCCAGTAGGCCTTGCAGGGATACTACTCTTACTGTCTTCTAAGTCCATATAACTCAAGTCCTTTCCTTCTGCCTCCTGCCAGCCCTTCACCATCTGGGTAAGGGGAAGGCTATAATCGATGCCAGAATACTCCTCAATGTCATCATCAAATGGTTTCCATTTTTCAACAAGTGGTGACAGAACATTCACAGCATGACCCATATCAGGCCGTTGGGTTGGTTCTCTGGCAGTGCAGTGCCCAGCTAGCTCAGCAATGACGGAGATGCTCTCAAACGTTTCTTCGTTTATGTCAAGGGCTGGGTCAATTGCAGCCATTAGTTTCTTCTTATCTGATTTTATATGCCAGAACCATGCTGCCAAGTATTGGCTTTCCTCAGGTCTATCCTCATCAAGTGCCATTAATCCAGTCAACAGCTCCATTAGCACAACCCCAAAACTGAAAACATCTGCTTTGGTTGTGATTTTTCCTGTAACTGAAATATATTTAACGATGAAACCCAGGATTAGCATAATATTTAGACATAAAATAAAGAAAGCTAACACCGCTTTTAGAAACCATATACTAATACTTCACTGGGCATAAAGTAATTCATATACAAGTAATAAAAAACTAAAATTACAAAATATAAAGAAGAAGAGAGTGATTAAATACGAGTATATGTAATTTTAAGAACTTGTAAAAATACACTAAAAAAAATTCACCTGCATATTCTGGCGCCAAGTATCCAAAAGTCCCAGCAAGCCGGGTCACTACAGATTTTTCGCCTTCAGGAGCAAGTTTTACCAATCCAAAATCTGATACTTTTGCTCTAAAATCATCAGCGAGCAAAATATTTGACGACTTAAGATCTCTGTGAATGAAGCTCTGGTGAGCCAGAGAATGAAGATACTCCATTCCTCTAGCAACATCCAAGGCAATATTGAGCCTCCTCTTCCAAGACAGGGGCTCCATTTTTGAGCTCTTCCAATGGAAAAGATGCTTACTAAGAGCTCCTTGTGGCATATACTCATAAACTAGAATTCTCTCATTGCCTTGGACGGAATAACCCAAAAGAGACACTAGATGCCTGTGTCGGACTTTTGATAGAACTGCAATTTCAGCCTGGAATTCGTCTAAGGCTTTGTTACTAATCACACCTGCTTCCATTCGTTTTACTGCAATTTTTGTTCCATCATCCAATTCTCCCTTATAAACAACGCCGAATCCACCACGGCCTAGCTCATTCTCGGGGGCAAAATTCTTGGTCACATTTCTTAGAACCTGAACTGATATCACAAGATTTCCAGCTTCAAGGACATGAGAATCCCCAATTCCACTGCTGTTTCTACTCCCAGACACACTCCCTGTTACAGTGGAAATGCTTCCATTGGTATTGTTAGCAACCGTAATCTTTACAGTATTGTCTGAATCAGATGGATCTCTAGGGTGAATTACTAGTGAATCACCATCCTTTCTCCTCCTGAAATAATATACATAAAGTGGAATGAGAAGAAAAGCTGCAGCAGCCACACCCGCAATGGGGGCTACAATTGAAACCAAGCTTTTCGTTTTGGATTTTGTTGTTTCATGAGAATTATTTGAACTTGAATTTGAGTTTCCTGGTGTAGGTTCAGCCTTCCCAGATCCAGATGGTGGACTCTTGTTCCCTGAGGAAGGAGCTTCCGGGCTACCATTTAACAAAGGATTCCCCTCAGTCATAATTTTCAAGCCATTATTAGTGAACTTTGGCAGCGGAGGGGAAATGTTATTGCCACTCAGATCCAACAATGTCAGAGATGTCAAGCTAGTCCAGTTACTAGGTACTACACCACTGAGATTGTTACCCTCCAATCGAATTTCAACAAGAGAACCTAAATTTGCAACAGAAGGACTTAGAGTACCAGTAAGATTAAAGTTTGGCAAATTAATCATAGACACCTTTCCATTGGCATTGCACTTAATTCCCAACCAATTCCCCTCGCAAGGGTTATTAAGAGTCCAGGAATTAACAAGATTTGAAGGATAATTCAACCCATCAAGAAATCCCAAAAGCGCCATGACTTCAAAGGCGCAGGGAACCCCGGGTTTGCTTTGACAAAAATCATTGGAATCATCAGATACTTTAGACGCTTTAAAATTTGGGATCGGACCCATCAAATGGTTATTGCTCAAATCCAGATTGTCCAGTTGCATTTTACCTAAGGCATCAGGGATTAGCCCAACAAGCTGGTTGCTATTGAGGTTGAGATCCTTCAGAGAAGTCAAGTCCCCAATGTTCTCCGGAATGGACCCAGTGAAACTGTTCCCATGAAGCCACAAACTCGAGAGCGAAACCATGGTGGCCACCAAGTCAATAGTCCCAGTAAGACCCTTACCCTGCTGGTTATTCAACCATAGAAGCTGCAAAGCGGTGCCGTTTAGACTCGCCGGGATCTCTCCGGTCAAATTGTTGCCGGAAAGTATCAAAAACGACAAAGAGTTCATCTTCCCGAGAAAATCCGGCAAGGGACCGGCCAAGTTACAACTCGCGCAAGTAAGATTGGTCAACTGCGTGGAACCCTGCAACGAAGAAGGGAATTGCCACCCACCAGTGCTAGCATTGAGGTTGTTGCGATCCAAAGCCAGAACTTCCAAACTCTCGAGCCCGTCGAAGAAATCTGAAGGGATGGAATCGAAGTTGTTGTTGTCCAAATAAGCATATTTCAGCTTAGACAACCCACTGAACGATGGCAAGGGACCGTTGAGCTTGTTGTTCTGAAGGCCCAAGTTGAAGAGCATGGTGAGCTGGTTCAGGTTCTGCGGTAAGGGACCACTGAGGTTCAAGTTCTTAGCTTGAATCTGGGAAACTCTGTTTCCATCACAGTATATGTAATTCCAAAGAGGGGTTCCACATGGGTCTCCACCATTTTTAGGCCATGGAAGCAGCTCCGGGTTATCCAACCCATTTCTGAAATCGTTGAGGATTTTGACATCGTTTGGGTCGGTGGCACTGAGGACCATTGCAGGTGCTGCAAGAGAGAAGACGAGGACGAGAGTGGAAAGAAGCATTGGAGAAGGGCCGTCCATGGCGGCGGTTGAGTCGGAGGTTCATCCGAGAGAGTGAAGAACCAGTGTTTGATAAAATGCCCCCTTAGATTTGGACCAGCTCATATGGAATCTGACCGCAAAAGAAACCATGTGAGAGAGAGTGAAAAAAGAAAGCTAGAGAGACGTGTAACTCTGACTGTGAGTGGGAGGAGTAAAAACGATATGTTGAATGCAAAAACGGAAATTAAGGTGCGCTAATGGCGCCTTTGATTCGGTGTGGCTTTTGAGAAGTTCGTAGTTCCCCTTTAAAGCATCAGTGTTCAATTAATCGCCTCTTCCATAGTCTCCGATCTGGATTTCCACGCCACCACCATATATTTGTACAAGTCCAAATTTATTATCTTTCTCTCTCTTCTTCTTACACTTACACATACGCGTGTTTTTGGATTTCCTGATACATCACTGTAATGATAATTGTTGAGTAAACACCTTTTTAGTCCCTGTCAATATCTACTAAGTCTTTTTTAGTTCTTGGCAATAAAAAAGGATCAAATTGGTCCCTAAAATTACAAAAAAAGATCATATTAGTCCTTATGTCAACTCCCAAATATGTAGGGTGGCCCTTTTCTTGTACTTTCAGGGACTAATTTGGTCCTTTTTTATTGCCAGAGACTGAAAAGGACTTCGTAGATATTGCCAGGGACTAAAAATAGTGTTTACTTATAATTGTTTATAGCCTTTGACGATTATGTTTTTCTTTTTTACTATAATTTTGCTAATCCAACTCAAATATATCATCATCATGTTGCTATTCAGATGTTATGATAGATTTGACTAATTTTAACATGAATTTTTTTTTAAAAATTTCCTGTAATTTTTTTTATAATCGTTTATTTTCTCCCTAAATTTTTTTATCATTGACCCGTTTTCTAAATTTTTTTATCGTTTATTTTCCTGACTTATTTTTGTATCATTTACTCTCTAAGTAAGGGAGTTAAGTGATAAAAAAACTTTAAGTTAATGGTAAATGATAAAAAAAATCTAAATAAAAGAATAAATGATTCAAAAAAATCGTAAGGGATAAGTGATAATTAACAAAATTCATAGGAATTTTTGTGAAGTTTTCCCTTTTAACAGTTCTATATCTCTCGTTAATACGATTTTAGTATCCTTAATTTCATATTATTTCCTACGAACGTATCTGTTGTTTGTTTTATTGAATGAATAAAATCATTTTCGATAAATTTTTGTTTTGTTTTTGAAATATTGATGTCTTAGATTTTGTATTAACTTAAGCATACTAGGTATGTTAAATAGTTTTTGTACCAAAAACAAATAAAATAGTTTTTCCTTTTGTAGAGTCGTCATAAAGAGAGATCTCTTCGTTTTCCATGTTAATTAATTTTAAGTAACCAATTTTCCTTCTAATTTAATATTCCGAACAGATAAGTAAAGAAAAACAAAACTGGTAGATAAAATTCACATGGGTAAAAAGATCTAATAGAGTATTTAAATTTCTACACAGCCTCATGGTCAAATGATCGCACTCAGATGATCACATGGATTCTCTCACTAGAAGAACTATCCAAATGAATGTAGTTTCACATGAGAAATAGAATTTTAGTCCCAAAAACACGGGTACAACCAAAATGAGTTCCTTAATGTTTTCAAAAAAAATTAAAAAAAAATTGAGTTCCTTAATTGCCCAAGACAATATCTGTAGTGATATTTACCAATATATATACGAATTAAGCAAATCATGCAGTTATATTATGTATTATAGATAAAATATAATGTATTTTAAAAATTAATTATGTACTACGGGTAACATCGGCGGATCTATCTTATTGCAACTGTGTGCAAGTGCAGACATAAAATATTGGAAGAAAAAAAATACTTTTTGGGTCCTTAATAAAAATTACAGGAAAAAAATCGACTTATGATCTCTCTGAATTTCAAAATAAATCAAGTTAATTGAAATTGTGATCCTCTAAAATTCAAAGAAAACTGACATTAGTCCCTCAAAATGACTTGGGTCTATTTTAAAATTCAAAGAGACCACAAATCGATTTTTTTTTCTTAAGATTAAATTGGGCTTTTTAATTTTTATTAAGGACCCAAAAAGTACTTTACTCAAAAAAAAATTGAAGTTGAAGTTGAAGTTTTCTTTGTTATTGAAGACAGTGGGTGATATTATATCACTAATAGATTTGAACTCATGTATAAAGCAGAGGAGGTAGATGATCAGAATTATCACTGTGCAATTAAAAATATTAAAAACAGACTTACTTGATATGTATGAAACAGACAGAATCAGAAGAATGAAAAATGCAATATCAGAGGAATAAAATCCGAGCCCACAGAACGTGTCTCCTTAAGACAATTTGCCCCCTCACTGATGCCAAAGGTTGATGGACACTTGTCTCCCAGGATAGAACGTATTTCGTCTGAAGAGTGGCGGCACTACCAGTCAACAGCCCAAACGAACACAACAAAATGCCAGAGGAAACTACACCGGAGTATGAAAAGGAACATGCAAAACCGAAAGGAGAAAAATTCCGGCAGAGTTTCAGTGCAGAAAAATTGGATCCATTTTCTAAAGGTGTCAGTGTCTATTTATAGACAACGTAAAGTCACGTTCCAAAAGGCACCTATTCGACGACGAAACAACACATCCGTTGGACACGAAAAGACACATTCGTTCGATACGAAAAGATACATTCGTTCAACACGAAAAGACACTCATTCAATGATGAAACAACATGTCCGTTAGGATGAAACAACATGTCTGTTAGGATGAAAAGATACATCTGTTTGTCGACGAAAAGGCACACCTTTTCACTACCAAACTTCTTATTCATAATCAATAGATTGTCTATACAATTTATATATATATATATATAAATTCCAACATTCTTTTATTTTTTTTTCTTATTTATATTCTTTTATTTTTTAATACATTTAAAACTTTCTTTGAAAAATAAAGTTTTTTGGGGGCACTTTCGTCGAACCCCCGCCTCTAAATATGCAGAGATAAATAAAATTTTATAAATCAGCCACTGACGGGTAGTACATGATTTTCGAAGAGAGAAACAAAATTATGTACTACCCTAATAATAGTTAATTTTTGAAATATACTATGTACTACCCGTAGTACATAGTTATAATTTTTTGACTATACCAAACTTTATATATAGTGACATTATACATTATGCAGCTGTACTATGTACTATGGGTAATACATAATGTATTTTAGAAATTAACTATGTACTATAGGTAGTACATGATTTCTGAAGAAAGAAAAAAAAAGTCATGTACTACCCGTAATATATAGTTAATTTCTGAAATATACTATGTACTACTCGTATAAATTTGTAACTGTACCAAACCTTATACACAGTGACAAAATACATCATTTTTCCTCTCTCTCTCTCTCTCTCTATATATATATATATATATATATATATATGAGAGAAAATATTTCTCAAGCAATATATTTATCTTCGTCTATTCAAAGACTACGTCGTTTTGTTTATATATTTCCTTATATTAATTGATTCACCTTTGAATGATTATGATTTCATTTTTCTCTCTCTTCCTTTATCACCATTGAACCATCTTTATACGGTTATGATTTAGTAGCCGGAGATAAAATTATCTCAAACAACTTGAGAAACGATAAGCCTTATATAAATATACATACATACACACACATACATATAGACTTTTTGACCTTTTTGCCCTTAGTTAAATAAAAAATAACCATTTTATCTTCGTCCCAGAACTATAAACTCATTTGCCCTTTTAATCGATTAAATGAAATAGTTGATCGATTAAATGTCGAAAATTTATTTTAGTCGATTAGTTAATCGATTAACTAGTTGTAGGTATTGCAGCAACAAGGCAAAAGGTCCTAGAAGATCCCAAAATGATTAACAACAATAATAACATTGCATAACATGAATCAGTGTTCCCATTATTTACACTCAATGAATCATCATCATCATTATTTACACTCACTACATGCGGAGTTTGGTGTTTTTCGATGAGACCCTTAAAAAATCACTAAGAGACATTGACATCCCACCAAAGAAGCTCCTCACCGGCGGCGACATGTTTTCCGATAAGACCCTCATGCAGAAATACCTCCCCCCACAACAACCCAATGGACTCCAACAAAGATTCCGACTATCCTTATTCCTCCAACCACTTCCACATGTACGAGTTTATTCTTTTGCCAAGGAAGCTCCTCACCGGCGGCGACATGTTTTCCGATGAGACCCTTATGCAGAAATATCTCCCCCCACAACAACCCAATGGACTCCAACAAAGATTTTGACTATCCTTGTTCCTCCAACCACTTCCATATGTACGAGTTTATTCTTTTGCCAACAATTTTGGCTTCAGAAAACTTTTCTAATGGGTAATATTCAACAAGCTGTAGAGATTGGTGTTAATTATGATGATGAATTTATGATGATGATTCACTGAATGTAAATAATGGGAACACTGATTCATGTTATGCAAAGTTATTACTGTTGTTAATAATTTTGGGATTTTCTAGGACCTTTTGTCTTGCTGATGCAATACCTGCAACCAGTTAATCAATTAGCTAATCGATTAAAATAAATTTTTGACATTTAATCGATTAACTATTTCATTTAATCGATTAAAAGGGAAAATGAGTGTGTAGTTATAGGATAAGGGTAAAATGATTATTTTTTATTTAATTAGGAGCAAAAGGGTCAAAAAGTCCATATATATATATATATATATATGGGATAAGTTATTCTACTTACCATTTTTTTTGTCTACTTGTGCCTATCATTCTCTAACACCATAGTCTTTGAATATATGAATTTTTTGACGTAAGTTTGGACTTTTCGAGACAAAGCTTGAATCAGCCCAGCCCACTTTCACTCCCTGCCCCTATCTATAAAAACAAAAACTACGGTGACACGGTGAGATCCGTTAGCTGTCAATAAATAGTTAAATTGTTTTTAAAAAAAATATAATGTTGATTATATAAAATATGGATGTTATCAAATAAAATCTCGAAATCCGTATTTTATCAATTAAAATGATTTTCGAAACAACCTTAAACATTAATTTGACTGATAATATATATTATAAAATTAAATATGCTATTTTTTATCAGTTAAAAATGAACAGAACTAATACTATATTTTTTAGAAATTAAATTAAAGTTTTTAGTCGTTAGATATTCATGTCGGGTTGTTTGGATTCGCATCTTTCTTTACGGTAATCATTTTAATGGGTGATTTCAATGTTCAACCACAAATAATTAAACCAGAATTATGTCTCCATGGGATAACCGAAACTTACGGAAAGGACCAATCGGCTACGGATTTTGACTTTCAAATTTGGTATGAGTAGC